AGTGCAAATGGGACAAACATTGAAGAACTGTGTTGCAGTGCGCATAAACCGAAGTAATATCATACTTTTTACTAAAGTCTCTTCATGAACTCTTCATGGGTCACAAAAATGGAAAAGGCACTCCAACGTGCTTGCAAGAAGAACCGTAGTATTAAGCAGTTAACATGAAAATTAGATAGAGAAATAGTTGGGTTCTTTACGGCAACCTTTCAACCTTCTTCTAGGCATCAACTGAGACTTTATAGGACCGATTTTAATCCACGTAACAGCTGTTTGACCTTAGGTCCGTAGATACTTGACAGTATGATGACTGGCTGACTGGCTCGAAATTAATACAAATGCAGAGTTAAAAATGACCATTGCTTGTCACGACACTCTTTTGATTCAACGGTGATAAGAAGACTAGTAGACGTTTGTGACATATATCAGCTGCACTTTCTCTGGGTTCACTCAGTCCGTTAGATTCTAGAATCCCGTTGCAAGTAAAACGTTATGCAGTTTTAGACCCTGAAGCTCCATCTAAGCCCATCGGCTGGATAATTTCGAATAGAAGTCGGCTTACCGTAATCCACAAAATTTTAGAAGAGTAAGCCCATCATAGTGCAGTGTGGATCCCATATTTTGCAACAAAAATATGGAAACGGAAAATAACCCTTCAAACCTGACGAGACTTCTCCCGGGAAACAAGCGGCACGGCACACAAACGGCCAAAAGACGGGATAAAAAGCTCCCCGTTGCGTCTGCCATCAACGAAATATGTAGAAACTTTGTTGTCAACCTGCTAGTCACTGTGTACAAACCGCCCGTTGGTCCGTATATTCACATAAATGATGTGAGTACAATTCGTTTGAGAGAAATCAATGAAAAGCTTTTGTGATAATGCGGTTACATCATCAGCCACTATGCTCATGCCACCGTAGGTCTCATTCCACAGGTTATAAACTGAGTTCACCTATAGGTGAACTCGTTTTTCATGTCGCGTGTTCTCACTGTGTCCTAGAGACGGACCACCATTTACCTATTTCGTGACGAACTTCACCGTGAGAAGTCATGATAAATCCTTATAAATCCTATTAGCACCTTCCACACTCTACCGGAGAAATTCATACACAGGGACCTGACAGCCCTCCTTTTAGCCACTCATACTGTCTTGCTCGAAGCATGAGTACCAATTCAAGCTAACTTTGTTAGATTCCAAACTCGCAGAGGTAACCGACTCAAAGGAAAGTGTTTCTTTTCATGTTCGGAGCCATTTGAAGGGGTCTTACTCCCAAGGATGGGCCTACAAAACACCCTAACCCAGAGTCGAAATGTATTTGCATCACCGAAATTTCCTCTTGCTGGTTGTCAGTTTTCTTCATCAAGCGGATATTTCGGGTCTAAAAAAGCTGCCCTCTTTGACCCTTCTAAGAATTTTGGTGGACTCTTATTGATCCGTTCTTGTTTTATGAATTTGTCTCAACCAGCACAAATATCGCAGATACCCAATCGTTCAGCTTTGCCGAAGGTTGACCTGCAGTTGCTGAAATTCCTAATACATGTCTGAGTCTAAAAATATATTTGCATGTAATTTACTAAGCCTAATCGTGTCTTCATACTCTATCCAGTTGGATACTAATGATTGAGCTCCACATTACCTGTGGTTGGCGTATTTACCACTTGCAGTCTGGCTCGTAACATCTGTTAGTCGTCAAATCTTTCAATACTTCCATCCAATCACATAAAAGTCACCCGGATTCCACCCTGGAAGCTGAAGTATCTAATGCAGAGCTGCCACCTCTCTATGGTGCTCATGCCTAGCTGCTACAGCTATTGCAGGAGCTGGAACTTTGTTCCGCAAGGTGAAGCCACGCCAAGGAGGCCAAATGGTGGCGGCCAGACAAGAAGTTATATGGCTCCGTATTATTAGTGATGGTCTTGCGGTAAAGTCATATTGTCTTTTGGGTGTAATATAAGTAAGGTGTTTCCTGAAGACGACCAAAATGTCCATATTTATAGAAGCAGCCATGGTGTTTTTGCTGAAACCGCTCAGTTCGATCCCCATAGCGGTAGAGCGTGACCATCGGAATCCTATTCAATTAAATTAAAATCATTTGAAAATCAAGCAGCCTGAAGCAGCTCAAAAGGTGTATGCTGTGTGCAGCTTCATTGGGAGTCAGAGAGCAATGTCTTACTTCCTGCACCTTCGGCCACCGTCTTGCAGCCGAGTAGGTCAGATAACATTGGAGATAAGGGTTAGCCTTGCTGCAGTGTATCCATAAAAATTCTACCACCAGCTGCCTCGTGATGGGCACTTTTCAGTCAAAAGATGTAGGCATGGTTCGTGCACAAAACCCTGCATCATGACATATATGGTGCTGTAGTTGCACTTATCCCCATAGGTGGACGCGCTTCGCCGGAGTGGATTCCAGTGAATAGTTGTGTTTTGCGCCGTTTTTTCACCAATATCGGTGCTACTTAACATAAGAAACGCTGTCCGTTTGCAGTTTTGATGCTGGAAATCTATCGAGGTTTACCCGGGCTCATTTGTCAGGCAACAAACGCGGGTGCTATCACCCTCGTGAGTAATGTTAGTGTCTAATTCGGCCGTCACGGCTCAGAATCGCATCTGGGTGATCGACCAGTGGTCGGCGCTTGTTGCACAAACAACATAGAGCGACTCTTCCCGTTATGTGCTGATCATCAGTTGTTTCTGGTCCGCACGAATTTTTAACGTAATCGTTCGCATCACGTGGCCTGGCGGTTACCAGATTCAAATCAAGTGTGGACCACATTGAACCACGTGGCTCCCAGCCACCGTTGGAGGACCGCAATCCAAAGCCACCGTTTCTTCATGGGCACAACGTGATTCCGATTGCGCCACGGTGTGAGCACGAATGGCAGTCCAAATTTTTTAAGGTCCTCACAAGTTAGCAGAATGTGTACTGATCCACGATCTTTGGAGAAATGGATGGCTCAGTAGTATCGATATGAGTTAATTCAACTATTCCTTGCAGTAAATAAGCATAGCACTGGTAACGATCAAGTATATGAAGCATGACAAAAAGTAAAAGGAACTAAGCTAATGGTGTTTGGTACCGTTTTCGGGTTCCTTATATACGATTATACGACTATTGTATGTTGTCTTGATCGCTAGTTCTGATTGCTGCCATTAAATCTATACCACCAAGCAATGCATACGATGGCACGCAACTTCATCAGATGCCAAATAATAAGAAACCTAAAGAAAGACCGGGATTTTTGTTAGACAACCAAAGCTCAGAAGATGAAGCTTTTGACGTTGAAAACATACATGTGGTATATTATTTTATGTTTCACTGACCGGTGGGGAGAAACTCTCGGGAAGAAGCCGAATGAATAAGGTAGCTCAGCAAATGAGTTCCAGAATCGACTTTCAAAAGACGATCCAGACAATGCACAGAACGTTTCAACTGGTTTCTTGCGATACATCTTCCGGTGACAGTGCGTGCGGATGATGAAGTGTAAACCTTAATCGCTCGTCAGAAGAAATAAAAAGCAAAATATCCGCATCAAAATTTGGGAAGCAACCAGGATAGAACGGTGCGAATCAAGTGATCTTTGAAAACGTTGGAGAATCAATGGCAACCCATCTAACAAAACCCACTGATTTGACGTGTGTTTGAGAGGAAGTGCCTGTTGAATGGTGCCTTTCGACATTGATTGCTCTCTTTAAAAAGAGTACACGGACACTGTGTGAAAATCGCTTTGAGGTTAACTTTGTAGCTGTAGCATCGATGATGTGTCTGGTCGATTGAACACACGGCAAGGTAGATACATTGAAACCAAACTGGGCTCCCTCCTCCAAGAGAATGCATCGGTCAAATGTTCACCGTCCGATAGATTCTGTAACAGCAGCACTGAGCCTAGAACCCAGCAACAATAGTATTCCTTGACTTGAAAACCGACTTCGATTAGGTGGACCGTCAGACATTATGGTAGTGTCAATGGGGATGAGGTGTTCTCCATAAATTCACGACACCCCCTTAAATTGCTCTAGGTCGACTCACGCGGACACGTGAAGGTCTAAGATAAGCTCTTGCCTCACTGCTCTCCATCAAATGGTGTCCCGGCAAGATTTGTAAATGATATGATTGTGAAAGATTCACTTTCAGTCAATAATGCCTGTGGGACCAAAATGCTTCCAGGGTATTTGACGTTGAGTAGAACTGTGGCAGCTATCATCATTGTACCGTAAGTTCTCGGTTATTTGCAGCTAAGGATATTGGAGGTGGTGGGGGTAGTAGTGATCATGATGACGATGCTGATGGTGGTGGGAGTGGTGATGATGACGATGATGACTGTAGCGTTAGATCAACGACATCAGGAAAAATACGCTACAAGTGTTTTGAGGATGCTCTTACAGAACTCCGGGACCGAATGTGGCTTCATGCTTTGGTTCCTTCTGGAGGCCTCCTCCACAGTATACTAGGTCGTGTTCTCAGTGGCTACACGTGGCCCGCACCTGGACAGTCGGCCAATGGTTGCCAACCCTGATAAAGTCAAAGTTCAGGTATATTTTCCACAATCCGAGGCATTTATTTACCACCCAAGCGATGAATTTTCCCCAAAACTGAATTGTCGGCTAGAACGCCCAATCAGATGAGTTATGTGGCATGTACCTGAGACTGAGGTTGACTCACTGATCACACACAAGTCATCTACTTTCTTTTTTACAGCCAACCAAGTCAATACGGTCGGATGACCATCAATTGAAGGATAAAAACTATCCAAATAGCTCAAACGGATTCGGGAATAAGCCAATTTTGTGAAGCTGTCATTGAGGTTTGTTTTCAACGTCAACCAGTCCGATTTCAAACCTTGACCGCTCCTTCAGTAGACATTGTTGTGGCATGCAGTCCTCACTGAATGTCAGCGGAGGATTTTGGAACACGCCCAAAGTGGTCTACAGTGAGGCCACAAAATCTCTTCTAAAAGGTATCACCCCCCGCCTCAACCACTACTAGTTATTTTCGTTTAGACTTGATGCAAGAAGCAAATGTCTCCAATGCATATAGGCAGCAAATCAATTCACAAGTGAAAAGTAAGCTATGCTCACGAAAAGTCTGAATGTTCACATAGAAGGAGAACCTCTGGATCAAAGTCTGAAAAACAGACCGGTTCGGAACAAAAGAAGTACCACAAAATCAAACAACAAAAGGTATCCCCGCCTCAACCACTACTACTTATTTTCGTTTAGACTTGATGCAAGAAGCAAATGTCTCCAATGCATATAGGCAGCAAATCAATTCACAAGTGAAAAGTAAGCTATGCTCACGAAAAGTCTGAATGTTCACATAGAAGGAGAACCTCTGGATCAAAGTCTGAAAAACAGACCGGTTCGGAACAAAAGAAGTACCACAAAATCAAACAACGCCCGGAAAATGGGACGGTTTGTGAAACGTTAATTAACTACTGATAATGTGAAATTCGTGTTCGCTTACAGAAGTTTCAAACCGGGTATCCGTCCAAGGCACGCAATTGAAGAATCGATGAAGGACGACACACCCTATCGACCCAAACCAGGTAACTATACTTAATTTGAGTGGTTCAAATGAGGACATGCAAACTTTTAAAATAACTTTCGAGGTTTTGAAATCTGGTGACTTTGCTACATCTGTATTCCATGCCCTAATTAGGTGGGGAGGTGTCTTGTTAGGTATAATGCAACACACCTGTCATTTCAAGCAAACGTACGTTTGGGAATCGCCTTCGTTGTTCTTTAATTATCCTAATGAAAATAGAAGTGTTTACCATCTACGAAAAGGAAGGTAAATTCCAATTATAACCGAGAAAATGTATTCTACGTGTATTCTTACTTGAGGCATCAGGAGCAGTTAGTTTTCGGAAACGCCCTCGCATCTATTTATGGACAATAGTTAAGCAGGAAAGAAAGTAAGGTAGGATTCATCAAAATAGCGGTTTTTGGATACGATGAAGCTGGAAAACTTGAAAACTTTGACGAGGCCCAGGAGAATCGAGGAAAAAGGCGAGGCCAAATGCGATACTTCACACAGTAAGCTTGCCCCGTAGTGACCATCCACGCCAATTAAGTCCGCCTTATTCTGGTCCCTTGAGATTTGGTTCGAACTCTACACATTGTGAGAGTTCACCCACCGATTAGCCTCAGAAGTATCAGGTTTAGCTCCCTCTGAGAAGCAGTTCACTCCCAGAAAAGCCCGGGCTACCAAATTCTTGCTTTTTGCTTTCCTTGACCAAAGAAACAAGTTGGTATACGACCGCCTGGAGTATGCCAAGTTACTGGTTGTTGATCAGGCGGCTGCTGATCTGTTCGCCGAACTTGGCACTTGGCTAGCAAACGTTTCGTCACCACTGATGATGTAACCTCGTATGAACAGTTACAAATTATTGGACAGGGAAGCAAAACTCTCATCTGCATCTCGTTCACAACAACTGAAAAATCCATCTTCTCCTTGAACGCGTCTTTCTGAACTTTCCTGGACATTCATTGACTGCTACTCAAATACAAGCAAATGCTAAAAAGCGACTCTACAGATTCGGTGATAAATCTCACTTTTCAAGAGAAGCGAAGAGCATTTAGGAGAAAATATACTACTAGCATGCCCCCATCAGTAGTGTTCACCGTTACACCGCTATAATCCCTCGAAAATATATACTAAAGGGGGTACAGTGGCATTTTCCATCATCCATGTTTAAGTAGACAGAGCAAACTCCATTTCGGTAACCTACTGGAGTCCTTATAAAGTGCATACTAACTTGAGCAACGCAAAAATCGAAGATGAGTTACGTAACGCGTTTTTTTTCAATTTACGAGAAAATCTTTGAGTCATGCAACTTCCAGCCTATCTCCAATGGGCGCACACTACAAAACGTTATCACCCTTTGTTTTAAAACTATGCGTATCCAAGATTGTTGAAAAGGCCTTCTTTCCTCCACTAGCACACACGTTAGACGTCCTCGAAAGATTCACATAAGACGTTTTTAATGCTCAGTAAGAATCTTGCTTTCGAGAGGGTGACACTGTCGAATACAGGACTGATTACTCATCAACAGATGTGTTCAGCTACTCCAGTGTCGCAATACAAGATCCAAGTGAACGTCGTTCATTCACAGTCGCAACGGATGAGCTATTGTCACCACACCCTGTAACTCGCAGTTGATTGGTTCCCATCCGATTTGCAAAGCTTTGTCTGGAAATCGAATCGGTACCGGCCACCGGAGACATGCATGCTCCCATGTCTGCATACGCGAAAACACTTGTTTACGGGTGAAAGTGGAAAGTAGCACAAGACCGCCAGCAACAGACTTAGACACTTTGAAACTCTGGTTATGGGTTCAGTCAGAAAGTTCCATTGGTTTCGTGCAGTCACTGAACACGCCACTTACAATCCATGGAGGGATACTGGGAGTTGTGGAGCGTTTTACGTATCTTGGAAGTTGTATTAGTTCTAATTGTAGTGTGACAGATGGGGTGAATGCACAAATCTGCAACGCTCGGGCCACGTCTGCTAATTTGAGACACCTATGGCGTCAGAATGGTTTATCCCTGAGTCTGAAGGGACGTGTGTATCAAGCTACAGTACGGGCTGTTTTGTTGTATGGCTGTGAGACTTCGCCTACTCGAGCAGCGAAACTGGGACGCCTTCAGGTGTGTTCGACAATCGTCGTCTCAAAACCATAGCTCGTGTGGGTCGGTGTCGGCGCATCCGTAGCAAGGCAGTTAGAAAGCGTGTTTTCGGTTGTGCAACGGGTACTTTCACTGAAGAATATGTCCAGCACCAGGAACTGCGTTGGTTGGGACGTGTATTGCGTATGCCGAACCATCGTTTGCCGAAGAGAGTGCTGTTTTCCATGCCCAACTCAGAGTGGTGTAAACAGAGAGGTGGCAGGGGAGTATGAAGGAGACCACGAAACGCTTGGGTGCTGTCGGTGCTACTCGCCTTCCATGATTGGGACCGCGTTATTCTCGCTGTGCGTAGTTGGAGACACTACAAATATGGCTTCCCATCGATATCAGTGGCGTTCTTGTTGTCAGTTTCTATCCAGATTGTCTGAATGAGTGTCTGGAGGTATAAGTACCTCGGAATTATTGTAGAAAACCGGCACTAAGTCCCTTCCCTGTCCACCTTTACTCTTTTCTTTACGGTAAAACTTTCAAATGAATCACGGTTGTACAGCAGTGAAGCATCGGTGTTGAACACTGATGTCATGCTGTCGATGACGATGATGCTGAAGAATTTCCCCTTATATAAGTCATAAAACATTACGACCGCTCCAAATTAGGGAAAATCGGGAAATTCCTTTTATGGACGCGACCTTCGACAACCGAAAACTCCATGGCACCCGAGTAGAATGGTCTTAGTTTGGAGGTGGTCTGTCTTAGGTGAGGCTTACTTTTGAGACATTATATATATATNTATATATATATATATATATATATATATATCAAACTAACCTTTCTTGAACTACTAAGATAATTTCATTCGTCCACGTAATTCATCCATGTGAATAAGTATATCAGTCTGCTGCAATGCACAGAATGCATTTTACCAAAGTTGAATAGCTTAATGATCTGTCATTTCGTTTGGCCCATTCAAGTTCCAGCGACCTCTGGACCAGCAGAGAAAACGCGGCTCGCATACCTGATGGCCTACGGTCAGGAACCAAGGGCTAAACATTTGGATTCGAGAAAAAACGAGAACGGTCGGTTTGCGTATCTTAAAAGACGTGTACAAGGCGTCAGAAAGTTTGGAAAAAACTACGATGACAATGGAGATCCACTGCCGGATGATGATGACAGATTCCTCGAACGTAAGTTCGTCGCCTTGGATGGTTGTCTAAGCTCAGCTCTTTTAATGTGAGTAGTGCGAACAAAAGACTCAATAGGGTTGACGTGGTAGGTGAACTGTTCCAACAGACTGCACTTCCGCTTTGTCTACTTGACGGTACCAGAAGTTGCGTTGGTTGGGACATGTGTTGCGCATGCGGAACCATCGTTTGCCGAAACGAGTGCTGTTTTCCATGGCTAATTTGGAGTGGCGGAAGCAGAGAGGTGGCCAACTCTTGACCTGGCAGAAGGGCGTGAAAGAAATTCCGAAACGTTCGGGTGTTGTCGGTGCCATTCGCCTTCCAGGATGGAGACCGCGTGATCCCCACTGCGCCTGATCGGAGGCGCTGCAAGATATGGCTAATAATCTATGTCAATGGCATTCTTATTGTCAGTTTCTACCCGGATCGCCTGAATGAGTGTCTGGAGGTGCAGGCACCTCGGAATGATTGTAGTAAGCTAGCCCCAAGTCCCCTCCCCGTCCACTTTTCTTCACAATAGGGCTTTCAAATAAATCATGACTGTACGGCAGTGAAGCATCGGTGCTGAACACTGATGACTTTGTGTAGAGGAGTTCTTCTAATCGTTAGCGATACCATTGCTTTTAAAGACACCTGAGAGCGAAAACAGAGGCTTCTGGAGCGCATCACTCCAGTGCGAATAGACCCACCTGGTTTAGCCCATTAGCTTTGTTTACGCAGATGTTCGTTTGCTTAGGATGAACTTCTCCGGGGTCTAATGTTCTCGGTTAAAAAATTTTGGTTCCACGATGCGTGGCATTTTGTGTTCAAAGAGTTTTTTGAGTTCCTGAGATCTACGTCAGCTAAGCTGTCTTCAACCGGCCGAAAATAGTTCCTCTACTCGTCTTTCACCAGAACTCGAGAGGACGTTTAAGTAGACGGTGTCCAGTCAGATTGTCCTAACATACAAACTGTCTCATTATAAACGCAAAAATTAATATGCGTGTTAGAACTTTAACATTAATTTAAACAGTTATTATTTTTTTATGTTGACATACACGCATTATGAAGGTTTTTTGTCAACAAACTGTCATTACAAAAAATGTTGGAAAGAACCTCCCCTTTCTTCTGTAACAAGTTGGAGGCGGTATGAGATGTGAGACACAGCATGTTTAACTTCAAGCGTCACTCGTGCACACTCCTTGCTCTTAACTCCACCAAATTCTTCCGTTTGTTTTCACGATATACGCGAGCCTTAATCATTCCCTAAAACCAATAATCCAGGGCTGTGAGATCGGGTGACCTTGCGAGCCAAAGGTTTGGAAATCCACGAGCAATGACTCTCTTATCGGAAAATTGCTCTCGGAGGTAAGTTCGCACTTAGTTTGAGTAGTGGGGCGGAGCGCCATCTTGTTGAAAGACGATCGATAACTTTTTGTGCTGCTTGAGTTGCGGGATAACATGCGTATGCAGCATATGGTGGTAATTGTCGCCGGAAACCGTAGCATCAAAGAAAAAGAGACGCAGGGGGCACCTTGAGGAGAATCCCATCCACATATGGAGATGAGGGGAATGGAGATTATGGGTAGGGTACTCGTGAGGAGCTTCACAAGACCATATCACGCAATTGTGCTTGTTGATTATGCCATCCACAGAAAAAAGTTGCTTCTTCGCTCCTTAAAATGTTGGGAACGCTTCCTTCATTGTCCAGCAGCCAGTTGGCGAACGTTACATGTTGCTCGTTGTCTTCTTCCGCGATGTTTCGTAATAAAGTGAAATGTTGCGGGTAGAGATGAAGGTAGCTTCTCACAATACGATGCACGCTGGCTCGGGGAATGCCGGTCAACTGAGACACCTGAGTTATTGACGAAGATGCCATGGTGGTCTGGGACTGAAGTTGCTCGACGGCATTCTGTACAATGGGTGCTCTTTCATCACTCAGAGACTTTCTCCCTTTGGCGGGAAAATCCAATATGGATCCACTGGACTCAAATTTTGCAGTTAAGCGTGTAATGGTCAACACGGTGAAAGGATCTTTGATGAGACCGTGTTTGGTTTCGTAACCACGAAGTGCAGCGGTGGCGCTTTCAACAAGGGAATAATAGAGTTTCATAATTTAAATGCGCGTACTGACACCCATCGTAAACATATACACCAAACCTCCTTTATGTGACTACCAACAATAAGAATTTTTGTTAACCTTCGTTTAACTGGCTACGTTTATTTACGCAGCTAAAGTTTGCGTCTATTATGGGACACCCTGTACTACCGGCAGAACATTCTTAGATCATGACCTTATTTTCGGCCCTATGATCTGAATCGCCCGAGATTTCTGGACGTATCTGAGGTGAAACAGTTACAGCTGAGGTACGTATTTTTTCCTGGAGAACACAACAGGCAACAAAGTACCTCGCAGTATGCCGGACTTGTTCTCCTTGCTGTATGGCTGCGCATGGAATTGATTGTGATTTGCGCATCTGATGGTCCCAACTCTTTCTGTGCGGATAAGTGGTTTTAATTTTCGTCCGTCCTAATGCGATGATTTCATGCTAGTCCCTCGGTTTTGCGGATCTGAAATAGTTAGACGGGCACTTTCTGTTAGTTTTGATCGACTGAGGTGGCTCATCATGTAAGTATTTTGGACAAACCCGATTACACCAAAAAGCGAAGGCGCTACTCAAAGACAACCGCGTATCGCGGCTTGGAACGTGACCAAAGCAAGCAAATAGCAAACAAAATCAATAAGAACTTCAAGAAGAACGCGAGACCTTCACATTATTACAAAAGAGAACTATTGGAGAGTGGGAGCTCGGGATTCGGCCACTCCCTGTTTCTACGGAGTTCCAAAGAGGTACACAAAGAAACAATACCCCTCCGACCAATAGCATCACCTCCTTGAACTATGGAAAAGGTTGAACCATCTCGTCGGTGGATCTCAGCACTTAATCAACAATGTGGGGCAACTTTTGGAGAAACTGAAGAAAGCAAACATCGATCGCAAAGAAATGATCGTCTCATTTGATGTGAGTTCACTATTCACTTCTGTCGACCTCGATTCTGTCAAGACAACTGTGGCCAAATTATTGGACAACGGCGAAGAAAGACCTCTTTCGATTGCTCGACTTATGCTTGATCACATATTCCGAGTTCATCGGGGAATATTGCGAACAATTACAAGGGACTCTGAATTTCAGGATTTATTGCAGAAATTACGATGCAATCACTTCTGTCTCGATTCTGTCAAGACAACTGTGGCCAAATTATTGGACAACGGCGAAGAAAGACCTCTTTCGATTGCTCGACTTATGCTTGATCACATATTCCGAGTTCATCGGGGAATATTGCGAACAATTACAAGGGACTCTGAATTTCAGGATTTATTGCAGAAATTACGATGCAAAAGCTGGAACAACTTGTATTGCCCTTTTTGCGATCATCAAAAGAGGGTGAGCCGACAACATCGAATTCACAGTCGAATAAGAGAACAACTGAGAACCGGCAAGTTCGCATCACTAGATTGTCCAGCGTACAGCTACAAACAGAGGTTTAAAGAAAGGCGACGCACAAGGATGAAATTTTCATCTATCACACTAACTATCAGGAAGGTCAGATTCCTGAAAGTAACCTCAGAACGCCCGGAACCTACTGCTCCACCAAAATTTCAACAGGAAAGCTGGCAAGCATCCAGGCCAGTCAATCATTCGATCAATTCAGTAAAACCTGATGAGTGTTCTCTGCGCCACAGAAGCACGACCGAATGTGATCAGCGTTCAGGCTTTTCACAGAGGCACGATCGATGTTGATGGGTAATCACTAACGCCTATCAGACAGCCTGGATCAATGTCAGAAAGTCTCCTTTGAATAGCGTGGCGCCGTTGTAACTTTTGCTCTCGCACTCGCTTGTTCGGAATATATCGGTTGTGTTCCCTTTTATGAGTCTTTTTCTCCGTCGCTAGGCACTGGAGCGGGTTAGCAGCAGATACCACAGGTCGGCGAATCAGCAGATATAACACCAACCATAGAAATTTTCATAAACAAAGTTGCATTCTGACACTTTTAAAACGGATCGATACATATTGAAGCACACCAGAATTCAAGATTAAAGAAGAAACATGTTTGTACAAATTGTCCCAAAGCAATGGAAACCCAAGGAGTTTCATTTTGAGGTCACTCAGAAAGCCAAACGTGACTAACGCAACAGCACAAGATGGATCACACTCCCGTACATCAGGAACACCGCCGACAAGACTTCAAGGCTCCTAGACAGAACAATACGACTGGGGGTTGCAAATCTGCGAGTAGTTTGTGGCGGACTCTATCCAAACGAACAGGAAAATTAGATCCAATAATGAAGAACAATGTCATGTAGGGGATCCAAAACAAGGATTGTGACAAACAATATATTGTGGACAAATTGGAAGAAAGCTTTCCACCAGAATACATGAACACGAGCCATGAACACGTGTCAGAAATGACACGACTTTGACTGGAGCACCGTTTGTATATTGGTCCATTCAAGAACGAAGGAGAAAGAACGCGAAATTATGAAAGCGTAGTACTCCACCGAAGAAGTTATCAACAAGCGTCTCGAAATTGGTCCTACCTATCAACGAACAAGGGCAGAACACCAGGACGACGGAACTCTGAACTGCACAACCAACCAAACGAGGAAATCGAAAGAAATAGGAGTGTTTAATTAAAACAAACACCACTTGGATTAGAGGAGGCTCTCAGTCAATAAAGTGAAGCACCCAATTAACCGGCAAAAGTAAGGACGTCAGACAATGCAGTAAAGAAAACAACGCGGGGAAAACAGCAAATCACTCTCGAGAAAATCAGATCGAGAAGGAGGTAATTCAGAGCGGGAAGGAAACCACCAAAAGTGGAAGGCGGTGAAACGACCGATAGACCCGAAGGGGCGGAGACCACATCATCATCATCACAATCATCATCATCATCATCGACAGCATGACATCAGTGTTCAACACCGATGATTCACTGCCATACAACCATGATATATTTGAAAGCCTTACTGTAAAGAAAAGAGTAAAGGTGGACGGGGAAGGGACTAAGTGCTGGTTTTCTACAATAATTCCGAGGTGCCTGCACCTCCAGACGTTCACTCAGGCAATCTGGATAGAAACTGACAACACGAACGCTACTGATATCGGTTGGCAGCCATTATTGTAGTGTCTCCAAACAGGCACAGTGAGTATCACGCGGTCCCCATCCTGGAAGGCGAGTAGCACCGACAGCACCCAAGCGTTTCGTGATCTCCTTCATACTCCTCTGCCAAGTCAAGGGTTGGCCACCTCTCTGTTTACGTCACCGTGAGTTGGGCATGGAAAAGAGCGCTCGTTTCGGCAAACGATGGTTCGGCATACGTAACACATGTCCCAACCAACGCAGCCTCTGGTGCCGGACATATTCTTCCATGGAAGTACCCGTTGCACAACCGAAAACTCGCTTTCTAACTGCCTCATTACGGATTCGCCGACACCAACCCACACGAGCTATGGTTTTGAGACGACGATTGTCGAACACACCTGAAGGCGTCTCAGTTCCGCTGCTCAAATAGGCCAAGTCTCACATCCATACACACGTCCCTTCAGATTCAGGAATTGACCATTCTGACATCATAGGTGTCTCAAATTGGCGAACGCGGCCCGAGCCTTGCAGATTCATGCATTCACCTCATCTGTCGCACTACAATCAGAACTAATACAACTTCGAATATAAGTAAAACGCTCCACGTGTACCACAACGCAACAAAGATCACAAACGGGCCAATAAATTCACGATAAACGCTGTCACCCAACTAGCCAATCGCGTCAGGAGATAACCGATAGCCGTCATATGCTATATAAGGGGAGTTAGGTAAACAAGAGTTAGCCATTCAACTGCGCACTGATGATGTCTCCTCGTAGGGTGACGAAAAGCTTACAAGTCACTTGCCAAGCTCGGAGAACAGATTAGTGGCCACCTGATCAACAACCAATAAACTCGCCCGAGCTACGATATTTCAGCTTATTACCATCGTGCTTCATTGTTTATGCACCAGTGCACCAGTGGTTCAGTGAAACAAGTGACACTGATTACTACATCAGCACCATCCCGCTTGGTTGTCTCTCTGTCAGGCTGTTGCCGTCCTGTATCCCAACTGACACTTGACATCAATACTCTATGGAGAACGCAAAATGTACTGAGACCGGAGGCTCTTTGTTCAGTTTGGCTCAAACGTTTCTACTCAGCGGGAACACGTGCCCCCGTACATTTAACCAGCTTCAGCACACTTCTGTTTCTGAATCTTTGTTAGAATAAATATTTGAGGCGTTTGTATTTTTTGCACAGTATGGTATAATCGGTCTCATGTGGTGTGCTTAGACCTTGGTTACTCTAATGAAGCAGGATATCCAGGAATATTCACCATCTTTGGGTCTATCGCCCAAGAATTTCAAGTGAAACGTAGGGTGGGCGAAATCTCAGGGACCATGTTTACCTGGTGAGCCCGAAGAGGGCCAAAACGGTCTTGGGCTGTCCAAGAGATCTCAGCCATCTTGTGAATAGTGTTCCGTCAAGAAATTGACTTAATATCCGACAACCACCCTCATTTGCACGCATATCTGGTGATGACATGAGACTCAACTGATGTCCGCTGAACTTCTCGTTTATGATGTTCCCAAGAACGGCGAAAATCGGTCGTGAGCTTTTGATGAATATTCAACAACCTTATGTGCTGCGATATCTCGACTTATTCACCAATTGAAACACTAGGTGGCCTTTGTGTGCCACATTCATTTGAAGCGGACAACCAAAAATGGCCAATTCTGTTGGATTTAGTTGGAAAAAAAGCAAATTGGAGTTTGTGTTCACATTCATCATCATTGTTATCTGTAAGAACCGCGTACTTGCCGTACAGTGGTCGTAGTGGCCAGAGTTTCGTTCACCGATGACTTAGGGAGGTGGGGTAGGTAGCTACGCATTGGAGGCGAGAGTTGATAAATTAGTGCGACAGCACTGTCAGTGGGCTGTCAAGTGGGGGGAGGGTTGGGTAAGGAGCTACGAATTGAAGACTATAGCTGGGGTGCCCAAGCGCCATTGAGGTCGCGACTGGGCCATGTCTGTCTGATGTGGCCCCTCTCGGGATCCCCATCCAGGAGGATGGCATTAATCAGCGCAGCTGAGGAGACTCGGGGATGGCGTCTGTCTGATGAACTCCGGGAAGAGTAAAACTGATCGTGGGTTGACGAAGTTTTCCAAACAGTCTTATGAGTAGTATATTTTATTCCGACTTGGTAACTTTAACCAAACTCTTGGTTATTTCAGCTTTGATTTTTTTCAACCCTTTAATTGACCACAGTCATTTTGGTTTGCTTATCCGTCCAGTTATCCGAGAAGTCAAAGAAAGACGGCAATTTCTCGATCAGATGAGGGTCATGGGTAAAGAACACATTTACAAGAATGAAGTGGAAACAGAAATTTCACAGGTATGTTTTAACTGTTTGACTGACGGATGGCCAGTTTCCGATTTGCTGGAATCTTTGGATATTGGAATATGCTTTTGCCAGATCGCTGTGTTGTTTGTTCTTTGTGCTACACTTCCCGGTGGCAAACGTTTGATCGGCGGATGAGTGATATGCGTTGCCGTCATGTCTGGCGCCATGACAAGACCCCAAATCAGCCACCACTAATTAGGAGGTATGAGGAACATTTCAGTGACAGCGATGTAGGCAGATCTGCGTCGGCATATGAAATCAGCACATGTGAAAACAACTAAGGGGATTTCTATGATCCGAATACATTCTCACCCCGGTTAAATTAACCAGTATATCCTGCATAAATGTCCTTCAGAGATTCGACAAATGCACTTATTTGCACATCAATGTGGTTTTTCAGGAGAGACACACCAGGAACCCAGCTGATTCTCTCGTTTATAATTTTATTCTGATATATTACATCCGTACAACGTATTACGGCATCTCGAATATCGTGCCGACTGACACATTAGACGGCCTTTCTGCAGCACATTCCTTTGAGAAATATCATAAACGACAGAATCAGTTGAGTCTCCTGTGAAATCCATATTGATATGCAAATTAGTATATTTGTCGTAATCAATCCAATTTGGGTTTAAGTAGGACATAAGTCTTGTGGACCACGGTCGCTTAAAGCCTTCTTTTCACGGGGAACCCCGGTCTGAATAGCCGCCTGATCGCCTGGTTTGCTTGACGAACGTGCAAGTCAGCTGCTCTATTGATCCGTGTCGCGTACAAGCGGGTCAAAAAGTGATACTAAGAATACAACTCATCTGTCAAGGACGAGTGAAGAACAGCCAATGAAATTTGGCTCAACGAAAAACGGTTACTCCATTGGCGGTTACATCGTCCCGTTACGTTCGGAGCTGGTTCTCCTACTAAGAAGGTTGACGGAAACTCGAGGAGCCCCAAGAAGACGGAAACCGGTCCTGTGCAGTCGAAGTGTTTTCAGCAAGTTTGTGAGTAGTTTCCTCCAGAGCTGTTAGAATAAACCATGCTGTCCAAATCAGTGTCGTCCATTCCTCCAGCCTACTGAACAAACAGGTGATCTGATGTCTTTATTGCATGACTTCGATGCAACCGATTCATCCAGGAATGCGTTTTGAAGTCTTTTTTGTTTCGGCATTGCCTACGCAGTACTTGTCATTGCTTTCCCAGCAACCTCCCTACACAAGACACCCGCAAGATGGTGAGTTTTGCACCCAGAAATTTCTCCAACAGAGATCTTCGTCAGTTTGCAACGTAATTTTTTGTATCGACACCATCTACCTCCGCGGTCCAGTACTCTGTTTGAAAAAGGAACTGTAGTTCATGCGTGATCTTAAACTCATTTCGTTTGCTTCATAAAGCCGGATAAACTGAGTATCACACATCCAGAGCACGCCAAAGCACAGCAGGTCTCGTCGGAATACGGTCATTGGTTCAATCATCATCGGCACCGTCGTTAACAACGACAGCCTAAGTACATTCTTCAACACCGATGAGCCACTGTACTTCACACCATTTCGGTAACTTATGCTAGCCGAGTAATTCTGCAGACAGCTCCATGCCTTTTAGTGCGTCAGGTTAGAACAGACTCATTTAGTGCCAGCGGTTGCCAATTATGTGGTACCAGGGTGAAGCCTCGGTTATCCGGTGAAAGTGGTCTAAGCAAGGAAACGACACCACATTGCCGTTAATCGGAGCAGTTCAAGCTCAATTTAGCGTGTAAAAGTTCTGCACATGGTAGATAGGATTGAACAGAATCCCTTTAGCTTCTAGTGATAATCTTTCATTATTTTATGGGGAAATGTCTTCGTAGTAAGTGCTCCTTTTTAGTGGTTTCCACTCACTCATAACGCGATAAGTAGAGGAACGCTAGTTCTTCGTGGTGTAGATGACGTGAGCTGATGAACATCGCGTAGTTTCACCATCTTGTACTTGATAATGAAGTGTTCGTTCCGAACTCAACTGGAAATTCCCTCCCAGCTTCTTATGTAGGTTTTCCGATTTCTTGTCCTTTGGTGTCCAGCACTTTTGACAAATTGTCGGATTACAAAAGTACTCATTTATTTCTCTCGCCTAATTCAGCTTGTGCGAGAAATGGAGCAGATCGACATGAAACGTTCGGCCGAACTGGAAAGAGCTATTGAACTGCATGAAACTCGTGGACAGCGGCTCCACTGAGCTATCGTCGCCACACCACGACCGAAATCAATTTGTTCGATTTTTTCTTTGATAAACCGCGCGTTTTTGATTTCTTCGTCCATATTCTATCCGACGCCTAGACACACTTCCAACTTAGAACATTCTGCAAACATATACTGCAATGTCAGTCGAACTGTGATACATTATAGAGAACAGAGATGTTATATTTTGTCCTGCTTGACTTAACCAATGATTGTATTGTATGTCAAGGTCACATGACTGTATGTCTCTGTGCACGAAAGCAGGCAGATAAATACAGGCTTTCGTTGATTCCTTTGTCACGGCCGACTCCTCACTGTCCGACGTCGGACTTCCTCAGTGCTCCTCAATACATTGTAGCCCGCCGTTTTTCGCCACTACGGCCGCGGAATAACGTTGGTTTTTTTCTCGATAGAGTGTTTTCGCTTATCTGCCCTGTTGTATGGATCAATTAGGGCAACTCGGCTGATGGCACCACGCGACGGACGATGGGGCGTGAGTTTATTTGTATATGTGCAGTTGATGGTTTTACATGGGCTGGGGTACTGTCAGGGCGCCCACATCTTGACAAAAGAATGTTTAGGGTCCTCAACCAACGCCTTCGGCTCAAAAGCCTAACCGCAGGGCAGCGGTATTCGGCGGAAAACGCTTCATGGTTGTACGTGGCACCGAAGCCTATACAAGAGGAAGATAACGGCCCTCGGTCAAAGTCCTCAGCTCAAAAGCCAGAGTAGTAAAAATTTGACAGAATATTCTGCTATCAGTGTTTCTGCCTCCAAATCGGAAATCCAGGAGACTGTGCTAGTCTTATCATCATTACTGTCAGCTGTAAGAACCGTGTACTTGTCGTACAGTGGTCGTAGCCGCCACAGTTTCGTTCACCGATGATTCGGGGAGGTGGGGTAGGTAGCTGCGCACTGGAGGTGGCAACTGATAAATTGGTGCGTAAATACATCTCTGTCAGTGGACTGTCAATTGGGGGGATAGGGAAGGAAAGCTACGAATTGAAGGCAATAGCTTGGATGTACGAGTGCCATTGAGGTCGCGACTGGGCCATGTCTAACAATTTCTCTAACCACAGATTTGACCGTCTCGGGGTTCCCATCCAGGAAGACGGCAGTGACCAGCGCAGCTGTGTTAATCTGACCTCTATCCATTGATAAAATGGTATGAAGAACTCTGCCAATGTCACAAGGGAAAGCCAAGTAAATCCCATCTGGTCACTGGGGTACACTATAGGGTGATGCGATGGCCATTCCGCACCCTACACTCGTCAGAACACTCCACATGTCAGAGGACCGCCGACTTCACAGAGCTCTTTCTCCCAGCTGTGTACAGCCCGAAGGTTGCAGAGTATGAAACTGTCGGATTGAGCGGGACTTCGTCTGCGAAACATTATTGGTCGTTGAGTCTGATGGACGTGGATCAACCAAGCCCCTGAAGTTCCGGCTCGGAAACGAACTCCCTCAAGAGTTCGGCTTTTCAGAGCAAGGGACCGTCGCGCTGTTGACGCAACACCCTTCACTTTATCTCCCCAAAAATGGACAGAACTCTGGTTCTACACCCCAAACTTTGCTAATCGCAGGTGCATTCCACGGATGTGGTCTCAATTAGATTGCTGTATCTTCATTACACCATCATGTGACGTCACAAAATATAAGATCTGTGTAGTGGCCGGCCCATGAATGAGTGTGATTCCCCTGATTAGCTGAAGTGGTATCTCAGCACTTGTTTTTCGAATCCGCTACGACGTCACCACTCTGTTGGTTTATCTTAAGGGTCACTAAATTATTTTGCTTGTCTTTTAAAGTCGAATTTGCTTTTTACACTTTTGTACTTTTCGTTGTATTCACCAGGTTTGATGCACTTTTTAAAGTCGTTTGCACATAAGCCGCTTCAGTGGGTTATAAATATGGACGAAAGAGAATCACAATTCGTTGAATTATACCCCCTGAATGTGATAGAGAAGACGGTAGCTCGGCAGGCATGGCACGTGGTCCTGTCGCCTGCATGGAATTAATTTTACTGCCTCAGCAGCAATGCTATTAATAGCTCCAGTAGGAACGTGGGCTTATTGTGTGCGTTGATGAGGTGCTGACATTCGGTGGTGAGGCTCTACAACGTCATTTAGGCCTCCTGTTCAGTTCTGTTGGGGAGCCGCGTTCGGATGCCAGAATCTTGGGATGACTGGAGACTGGATACAAAAATGAGGCACTTCAATTGATTCTCCTCAATGAGCTGAGCTTGAAGCGCTCATATTCCCAACTGACAACACCGGCAACTGTGATAAAATCATCCCCAACTTTCTTGACCAACTTTAGGCATTGGTAACGCGGTTACCGAGCAGTGATGTTTGATCGCCAAGTATCTGGGATATCGGTCTGACAGTTTCATCAAATTTGAAGTCGCGGGAGTAGCTTGGGGAGGATGAAATTTGTGTACCGTTCATGCTCCGGTGTGCCGAGTTTTTGGAGCAATAATCTAACTTTCCTTCCGTCATCAAACGTGGAAAAATCAACCTTGAACATGCCTTTGTACCGCTTGAATCACAAGTCAAAAGTGTGACCAGAAAGAGGGTCGAATGTGAATCCGTGATGGAGGCCGCGGTTGCGTCAGTTGAGGAAACGGAAGACTCGCTAGCACTGGTTGCTGTCTAGAAATTCAGTCTCTGAGCCAGGGATTCAGTGAGCTTTGGTTGCGCTTCTTCAAACTGCTTTTGTTGCTGCCGCAATAGTCCTCGGAGCTGATAAAATTCGGTTGGAATCGTGGGTTCTCGTTCGCCGGCCTTAACCTCTCAAGCAAGCGTTCCCACCGAAGCTTTACAACGTATATCAACGCCCAAAACGAAGTCGAGAACATTTGTGTAGCGCGTCGTTTTTATGGTTTAAGCGGCGACAACCTTCTGGAAATTCTGACGCCTTCAGGATGCGCCATTGGCAACCGGCATTCGGCCAATTCATGATTGGCTGTTGGGTCAAGACTTTCGGCCAATCGGAACTCGGCCTAGTGTCGGACAAGCAAGTGGCCCGAACTTTAGGCCAATCTGGTGCGGGAAAGCTTTCTCGGCAGTAGCAGCGACTAACTACAAGTAGTAAAGTGGGATCCGTGTGGAATTCCGTCTGACAGAGCGTTTTTCAGTCGCTGATTTCTTGCAGTTTTTTGAAAGCTTACGGTTCTTACCGTCTGTATTCTTGTGATGATCAGACGATAATGAGTGTTTTTCAGGTAACTTAACTTGGTTGCATTCAAATGACAAAGAAAGTATATCGTCAACAACTAAGTAAAAAGGAAAGACTGTGTCGATATCTCATGAACACGGGAACTGGAAGTTGATGTACCATATGTTATACCATACAGCAACGAACTAACCATTGTTATTTCAAAATACAGTCATCACTTCCAAGAGGAAGCATTTAGCTATTAGGAGGTGGGACTCGCACGCCGAAGCCACTATGGATAAAGTGTGTGCTATGTTTAGTCAGGTGTATTACCTGACAGTCTTGTGTGGCCTTAGCAACCCCATGCAAAGTCAGCTGAAGTTGATTAGCGAAGTAGCTCTACGCCAGTCAATCGCTTCATCTCCTAAACTTCCAACGTACAGATTAGAAGGTCTTAGTTTGGCAGGCATAATGGTGTAATACCTTCAGAGCGATTGGTGCACAGAAGGGACCGTTAGACAAGGTTTATTCAAACTTTTGAACTGCTACCTTGCGTCAAATTTGAAGGATGAATACATAAGCAACTGGAAAGAAGTTCGACAGGATCTCCAAACTTTGGGTTCGTCTCCGAAGTGGTGACGCATGAACTGGAGCTCGGTCTAAGGTTAATCATCAATCAAAAACCACTGGTTTGCTATGGAGATGACACTTTTAATCGGGAAAAAAATTTAGGCACAGGAAACCGACACACTACTTTTTCATAAGGAAAACTACTCACAACGCTGTGGAAAAGTCTCCGGCAGCTCAAGACCAGTTTCGCTTTCCTCGAGGATCCTCTCGTTTATGAGTGCATTTGTCGCAATTAGTCCAATTTGGGTTCAAATAGAACATAAAGTTGACGTAAACTCGGAGACTGTGCCCACCTGATGAGCAGGGCCCAGTCGACGTAGCACCACTTACAGAGGACCAGCGATTCGACTAGGTTATTCAAACGAAGGTGATCAGTGGAGTGGCAAACGAATTTTCAGGAACTTTCCAGAGTCACCACATAAAACCTAAGAACGGAGCTCACCCGAAAGAGTTGAAGACCAGTCCATTCATTTCGTGCACAGGCTAAAGGACAATTCGGTACACCCGTCCAATCGAACAACTAGTTTTAATCAAGACGGGTTCAGACTAACATGACGTGTATAAACACACGCAAATTTACTCATAGCAAGACCTCCGGAAATCAGTGATGTTACCTAGATTGCTGACGAAGCCTTTGCAGCCCAGCTGCCCTACTCAGACAACAAACCTGAGCTATCAATTTTTTTAGGTAGCGAAGTTTGTCCTCCTCGACGGATGCATCAGGCGCAGCTCTTGCCTGATATGTAGAACCGGGTAGTGTGAACTTCATGGTCTCATATCCCTTTGTTACAGCAAGTGGTTCTCTTCTGAAAGCAGTTTAACAGCACTTAAGCCTGTGTCAAGAACATATTTTTGAAGACAAATCATCGAGTCACTTCTTCTTGGGGTCCCAGCTGGGCATCGTCCTCGTCTGACAAATTTCCGGTGCAGCTGTTACGCGCCTCATTTTGATTCCGGAAGGAGATGAACTTCCGCTGTCCGATTTATACAGGAGTCGCTCTCTCCACTGGGCTCTGGAGATTGGTAAGAATGCTGAACTCGATGGGTGACGCCTCGTTCGACCTGTGGAAAGAGTGGGTTATGTGAAGTTTAGTTCACTTGCATTTAAACACAGTTGTCTTGTCGATAGTTTTTTTTATTCGCCCATTCAAGGATAACCAGTTGTCCTGTTCCCTAAGACTTGTATGGTTGAAAAGTACCTGGTGATGCGACCTTCTACCAAACCGGCATATAAGTGGTCACGGAGACTAATCATCCTTGTTGTTCCACTCTCACTGAAGCTCTTCATGTGCACTTTTTTGACCCTCTTCTCATGACGACTGAAATCAGGCTAAAAACCGTTTGGTTTTGCTTTCCTGTGCAATGTTGCCTTGGGACATCAGTTTCACAGTTTCTGCAAGGGGCCACTACCTGGAGAGGGCTTGCTTTATGTGTGTAGCTTTGATTTTGTGCTGATAGCGCATACCTGAATGTGGTCTTCTTAAGGCGTCTAAGTTATAGCCCACCTCCAAAACGGGCTTAGAAGGTTAGTTATCAGGGGTGGTGAACTAGCTTGGACAAGAGGCACCTTTCTGAAGGAAGGACGGAACCATAGATGGTGGCAGATTTTCCGTTCCTGGAGAGGAGAAATCCAAATGCCAGGGTTGGGTTTGACCAAGTACACTCTTTTGGCTAGTCTTCTCCTTAAGCGCTGAGCAGTCGTCAGCGTTATGAGTGAGAGACTGACACCCGTACGGCGGACCAATCCTATTGGGTGCTGTCTCTCTTAGACATCTATTTGGCCTGTCATTTCTCGCTCTTCTGTTTGCACAAGTATGGTCACCCTTAAAGGTGTTGTTTTCAAATGACCCATCTCGATGTAAGGGTGTCCTTGAACCCTCCCTGCATTCCGCTGAGTCGCCTGTCATATGATTCAGAGAACATATGTGACAGTTTTAGCGAGATTTATTCTGAACAGTCTTCAGGTGATTCACCTGCACGAAATGGATAAATTATCCCCACGAAAACTAACAAAATGGCCCATGCTTATATCTTGATGAAGATTCGAGCGGCCTGTTATTCATAAATGGAAACGAGGAAGCCCGATCACACAATCAATTGTCTAATCGCATATATGGCTATCTTTATACCTGTTTTGAGATACTGGACTATTCCGTCATTCTACTCTATAGCCCACTGTATGTGGTATGCAGTCTGCCGAACAGTAATGTGAAATCGGCCTGGATGTCGCAGTAGGCAGAGCGTACGGAACTTTGAACTTTTGTGGCCGTTTATTGCCATTCATGGTCCAGGCATCTGCAGTTTAGCTGCGATTCACTAGGTATCAGGTTGTCTGAATTTCACACCTGTTGTGAATGTGGAAAGCCATCTTTTAAGGAAAGTGAAGTTGACCGTGATGGCCGGTGACGATTAGGCCTATCGTAGAGGCTGCGATCGGATTTGGTATAATGCATACGCCAAACAAATCTTTCATTGTATTCGTCACTTATCCCTAAAACGCAGAATTACACCTCGTGTGTGATATCCATCGAGTAGTGTATGAAAGCCTTAGACGGATCGAAGAAACAGCACACTCGCTGTCAACAGGTACCAACATGTACGGTGTGTAGACGTAATGTACTACTCGTAA